ATAATTAGGTGAAAAGAACATACAAAAATAACCTAATACTAACTGACACTCTTAAGGATCAACCCTTCAGAATTTAACTAAGGCTGCCTGACATCTTATTGACACCCCTATCAGGGCAAGATATAATGATATTCAAACTGACCTGGTTTGGCTAACACAGTAAACCATAGCATATTGTGCTTTGAACTCATGCATTATTTATCTCTTTACTTATTCAGCATAGCTACAAGTAAGAGACTGGAGGGCTTCAATTCGCTCTGTTTTTCCAAAAAGGACAAACCGTAGCTATTCTTAATTATACTTTATTTAAAATAAACTTTTAAATGAACTAAAGTCAATATTAACCACAGTCACAGTTAATCAAAAGAATCAGAAAATTCTTCCACTCTTCTTTTTTGGCAATGACAGAGAAAAAGAGTTAAGGTATGCAAGATTAATGTCCACTGCAGTTGATTGCCAAGCCAATAAAACATGGCTTATTAAGATCTCTGAATTAGTTTGATATGTCTTACTACTGAAAAAATATGTGTTAAGACTCATGGACTACTCAAAAAAGGGGGCAAATGTTATTAGGAAAGAGGTACATTAGATATTAAATGGAAAAAAAATCTCAATAAATAACCAAGATTATTCAAGCATAAATAATGAGGGGCAACTCTAGACTACTGCTTCTTAAACAGTGGATCCTGACCCCCAAATGGGGTCAATATTATGATAATGAAAAAGCTCAATATTACAATCATGAAAAAAATGGCAACAGTAAATGGTTTCTGAATGTCATTTACACCCATTTACACAAATCTGTTAGCAATAACATGCAGTGCTTACAGTGGACTCTGCAGAAAATGTTTTAGTTGTACTCCATGAAAAGAAAAATCGGTTTGTTTAGTAAGCCTTGCAAAATGTGAGTTATTTTTAGTAAATGTTTGATTTGTATACTTTTTATATGCATATATAACTGGGGTGATATAAAAATTTCTCAGCCACAAAGGGGGCACGAGTGGAAAAAGTTTAAGAAGCCCTGGTCTAGACAATTTATGGGAATCAGTTAAATAAAAATGTGTCACAGGAGAAAATAGTAACATTAGTAAAATTAAGTTATTTTGTCCTCTCCACAGTATCAAGCAAACATAAACTACTAATTCTCATGAAAATAAATTAGAAAGAAGGAAATCGGGATGAGGGACTACTATGATGTGACTGCACTGGCTGTGGGACCAAGCCTTTGGGGCAGTGCAATGAGGCAATAGTAGAATGGTGTCCTGAGATGGTTTTTAAGCAACTGATTTTAAAGTGGATATAAGTGATTTTAATATTTGTTTATATTTATGGTTTTATTAAGTGATTTTAATGTTTGTATATATTTATGGTTTTATGGCCCAGCATTGAATGTTACCCGTATATATGTTGTGCTCTACCCTGACTCCCCTGCAAGGTGAGAAGGGCGGAATATAAATGTTTTAAATAAATAAATAATACTGTATATCACGACCAACCCTACTTCTCTGGCTATATTGAATTATAGCGGCTGGCATTTGCAACCTGATGGCAATTCCCCTGCTAACGTGTCATTGACCATTAATATATTTGTATCCACCAAATACAAATAGTTCATTCTTTCATAGAAATGTACCGTGGACTGGCAGCTGATGGCTTCTATACTAGCAACTGTATATAAGACTACAACTTTAAGGAACATTACTTTATACAGCTTCACATAAAAGCAGTCTGCCTATTAAAATAGTTTTTAAAATAATGTGGTCTAGTAAACATATAAACAACTTGTCTTAAACATTCTATTCATAATTCTAAAAGAAAATCTTCCATAATCCATTTTTCTATTTTAATACTCTCTTATATACCATTCATTTTACAGCCTCTTCTTGTTAATTTTTGTTTCATCATTCACTCTTTTTTTTATTTCCTGCCACATTGCACCACAGCAAGCTCTTTCGAACAGCTTAAAAGCCAAATTAATTTTGGAAATTTTCTAACAACGGGAACCAACAATGGTAAGAATTGAAGCCATGTTATCAGGACCATTTGATAATGACCAAATGTATTACTAAATGTACGACCACATGACTAAAGAAATGTGTATACGTGCTTTAAGATATTATCTCAAGTTCATTTATTACTCAAAACTATGGTTTGTAGTTTGTTAATAATTTAAATGTCAGATCATGGTTTGAACATCCAAACATAAAAAACACCACAGTTAGTTACTTTTTTCCTTTTCTTCTGCCTAGAATTTCCTTTCCAATGCTGAAGCTCCTAGTGAAGGCAGGTACACAGTTACAGCTTTGGTGGTTGTAAGTATTCATCTTGTTGTTAATATCCTGCTTTTCCTCTCAAAATGCTGATAGGTCAGGCTGTGATGCAAACAGTATTTAATCAAGTTTAGGTGTGATGTCTGACCTAAGCTCCCAATGTTTTACGATATTAATATTTCATCCAAAATTAGATCTTATAATGAATTGTTGGGAAGCAATATGATTTAAAATAGATTGTGCAGAAAACAACTTCCATAACAAAACCAAGGTTTGAGTTTTCCCCATGATCAATTAAACCATTGCAGCACTACAAAATATACAAACACAATGCAAGAATTATTACAAACCAATTCCTGTCCTCTCAAATTACAAAACATTGGGTTCACTGGGTTTTATGCATAAGAATGTAGATTACGTTTTTGTTCATAAATCTGGAGTAAGGGTCACCAGTCAAATATGTATTCCCCATAAGAGAAACCCATTTATACAAACCCTATCCTTGGGTTTCCTACACCCCTTTCTTTCTACCAATCTCAGCTAATTATAATAGCAGAATGCCACATATATTAATTGCTTTTTTATTACATGCAGTAAGATGCAATTGCATTCTGAGTTTTGTTCTCATGTTAGAGAAAAGCTTCTCTGTGCATAATCTAGCTCCCAAATGCCAAAACTTGGAAACAAGTATCAGTTTGTTTTCACTTTAACTCCATAATTATATTTTATTACTATATTATATTTTCCTGGAGAAAAACAAATAGTTAAAAGTTACTGACATAGGAAATATTTTCCATCCTGCAAAAGCTAATTAAAGCAAGTTGCATCAGCCTCCAAGTGTAACAGAACTTATGGTTGTATTCATTTGTGTCCATCCACCAGCAAAATGGAAGGACTAGTTCTCCCCTCCCATCAGAACCTCTCATACATCACCATCCAGATCTATTCTGATGTATTAGGATATTCTGGAGGAGACCCGGGAGACAAAGGTGTGCAAGGAGTTGAAATTAACTGCACAAGTTGAAATTCAATTGTTCAAGAATGCATGTGGTCTGAAATAATACACTGTATGTACCGTAATAGTTCTGCTCTACTATAAAAGTTAAATTTGAGGTAAATCCCAAAGAAAGGCTACTTACAATTCACCTATTAAGTAAAACACCAGACATAAATGAAGCACAAATAATGTCAAGAAAAATAGTCAGATTTTTTAGCCTTCCATCATCAAATATTTTAGACACACCAGGCACTGGCATTAATAATCTCATGGGTATAATTTCATCACGAAATCATAAATCTACACAATTAGTGAAAATATAATTAGACAAAATATTTCTCCAATATCTTATCAAAATAAGTTATGTACATTAATAAAACTATTTGAATGTAATGACTTTGTTGAAATAACAACATAAGGAAACATAATGGTGATAGAAAGAAGCTACCAACATGTACAATCTACTGAACTAGAAACATTGTTCCAAAAACGTATGTGAAGAACACTAGCTCTTTTTAATATGAAGCAAAGTATTACAATCCTTCTCTATACAGGTGGTCCTAAAGAAACTGAAATAGATTTGTTAATGTATCATTGTTTCCCTTTCACACTGCAAAATGGAAATATCGGCATGACTAAGCAGGACACAAGAGAAAGGATGACTGGCACACAGACTCTTTGCTGTTATAGTGTTTTGATTTGTATTGTCAATGTGTGCTCACCCAGTTAGGAGAAAGAAAGAATCAAGTACTATCTGGAAGCTATTTACATATGTGCAAGGATTACAGTTAAGTATTTTATGTCAAGTATTAAAATGTAACCAAAATAAACTTTATTGACACAATCCATTTAAGTGTACAAATGAAATCAAGTCTAAATTATGATATGTAAATAAGATATATAGAGATAACTGAATTCCAAGGTGTTGTTCTGTGAGATGTTGATGAAACAACAGTAAGTTTGCAACCATATAGAAATAAGCATTAGGATTAATGTCTCATTGATTTAAGTGGAACTTACTATTTAAATTGAGAAGAAAATATTCTTAAACAGAGTCAAATATTTTCAATAACTAGCATTACTAACTCTTCACTATCATTTGATTAAAAATATTTTATTAATTTACTTCTCAATTGTATAGCCAAATCCTAAATTAATATTTAAATATCATGCCAGTCTTTCTGCCAAGAAAAAATGCTATGAATATAAGATATTATTTATTTCTTCCAAAACTGAGGCTTAAAGCAGCTCCAGTTAATATCTGAAAGCAAATTCAACCATTAAACCTGTGTCCTAAAAGCCTGACATTGTTGGAAGCCTGACATTGTTGGAAACCCATCAAGCTGTACATATTACATGCCCCTTGTTTCTGCAATGACAAATACAGGCTAATTCCCTTATTGTAATTCTAATTTTGTTCCAATAGTTAAAAATTAGTTAAATTAGCCTAGACTACTTAACTGAAATATTGGTATCTGTTTAATGTTCTTCTTTTATTTCTCTCCTACATACATAAATGTTTAAACTATGGCAATTTGCCCTTGAATGTTCATAGTCCATCTTTTCACTTTATCAACAAAGGTAAATTTATCTACTGTAAATGCAGTAACATATGCATACAAAGCACAACTAGTTAGTAGTAATTTGGTTTAACTAAAGGAAGAAACAACATGAACATTAATGACTATGTTACCCAATCTTGTATCAACTTAAAAAACTAAATCATATCTTACCTTGAATACCCATTAGAGAAGATAGATCTTCCAGGAAAATTCAATGCACCTAGTGGTGTAAGATCATCCCCAGCTCCCTGGCACTTATTCCAATTTTCTGAACCAGCAGGATGAGATGGAATGGCATTGAAAACTGGTTTCTGATCCTGCTGTTGAGTGACAGATGCCATGTTCAAATCATAGTGGTAGATCTGTCCCCCTGAAGTGCTGACACCATGAACAGAAATGGCAGATGTTTTATTTCCTAGCATATTTGACCCAGGGAAATTAGCTTGACAATAAACTGTGCCAATTTTCTCCTGCTTTATTACACCTGGGGTGCACAATTCAATAAAATCTTCCTTCTCAGTTTTCACCTGAGGCATTTGCATTGTAGAACTGGTCAAAAAATCATCACTTTCGTTAATTTTAGGTTTCGTGTCAGGTAAAATGGGAGGTTTGCAATCCTCCATTTCATTTCCTTCCAGGAGATAACCCTCATCTCCACCAAGAGGGGAAAGCAAGCTACTTTCATCCAGCACAGGGTCTATTCTCCAAGGGCTTCCATTTGTTTCCTTTCCTGGAGACACTGGTGGCAAATCAAAATCCTGCAAAATATCAAAGGTGCTTTGGTCTTCAGAAAAAAGCTTCAAGTTGCCACCATTTGTGCCAACCTGGCCTTGTGCTAAAGCCCCTTGATCTAAAATAATATCACGACCAGACATGCTTGGGAACTCTGATTCTAAGGTTTCATCAATAGATGTAGCACCCTTTGAGCCTTCTGCCAGGCTAGAAGACTTATTCAAGCTTGCAATGCTTTCTTCAAGGAGCCTAAAGTCTGTATCTCCAGAAGACAGACTGATTTGGCCCTTCTGAGGAAATCCAAGTTCGTTTCCCATCACTTTCGAATCTGTTTCACCCATGTACAATCCCATTGATAGCGACACTGCTTTAGAGAGATCTGGCTGTGGCACATTGGATCCTAATCCCTTTGACAAGTCGCACAGAACAGGTTGTTGCATGGAGTCAGGCTCAGAAGAGGCAGGCAGGGGAGATGCAGATGCAGGAATCTTGATAGTGCCACCCCTCAAGGATGGATTAAAGTCCAGCAAAATTCCTCCTTTGTCACAGAAGTGAGCACTTTTTCCAGCTTCCTTCTCTCCTGAGGATTTTAGTGCTTCTTTGGGCTCCATTATCTTAAAAAAGGTTATAAAGAAAGAAATATATATTTACCGTTAGCACGTGAGAAAAATGCTCTACAAATACTAACATGGGTGGAACGTCTCAATATGAAATTGACATAAAGTTAATACATTTCAAGCATCTCCTCATCAACCCATTCTGACAACTGCACTTTTATCTTTCAATTTTTAATTTTAAAAAATCGTATTTGACCTGGCACCATTAATAACAAAGAAAACTACTACATCTGAATTATGTTTATCATCAAAGTAACAGAATTAAATTCTATAATATATGTCAAATGAAAATATCTAGACAGCTGAAAATATGCATAAATATAACACATTTCAGGCCTCCCTCATTGCTATCTTTTATATTAAAAAGTTCAATCAAGATATTAGAATCTGTACACCTACTATTATATATGGGGGAATTCAACTGATCATAATGGGAAAGGCCACTCAGTTTTTCAAACAACCAACTTTTAGTAGAAAAATGCCTATACGAGATTATACTATCCGTCATGTCTCCTAACTCACTCAAAAGCTCTTACTCTTACTTCATCTTTACCCACTACTATACTTCTTTGGTGTCTTTTTAAAAAAGGCATGAATTAAGCAACAGTATATTAAAATTAAGGTTTACTATAATAAGCAATTATATTATTCCATTTGGGATCAAAACGATAATCACTTTTCAGTAGTATAGGGTGATCTAAGTAAAGATATGTCTTCAAAAATAAGTAGAAAAAAAACTACAAGCATGGACAAATTCTTCAGCAAATGTTTTATCACTTATGGAATAGCTGTTGTTTTGCATTTAAAACATAGACTTGGTAGAAATAAGCATAGAGTTAATTTCATTTCTAAAATTAAAGCTTTCACATATTGTGCTCCCCTGTGTGAAAAAGAGCTACGTGAAATGACAAAATATTATATGTACCAGTAACTGAAAATGCTTGTATATAAAAGGACATTTCAAATCAACTTATGACTAAATATAAATAAATACAACCAGGTATCATAAGGCCTTTTCTATCCTCAGAAGGAGGCAGAAAAAGTGCCACCCTTAAAACAACAGTACTTTAATACTGATCAGTTTCTCTTATCTGCAATTTTCCATTTTTGAAAATTTCACAAAGGGGGATTTATGAATGGCAAAGCAGCTTTTCTTGACAGCTCTTTCCTACACAGAACCAAAAGGACACCACGCAAAAATAGTGTGGTTAATTCTGGAATATCCTCTTCTCAAAAACTTCCAAGAGACAGTTAAAATATGTTTTGGCCCTGGCGCCCTGGCATTAAAAAAAAAGCACATAGTTTCTGAAGAAAAAGAGGGAAGGACAGGAGAAAAACTGGAGTCGCCACATTTGACAAGTTTCTTTCCTGCACACACAGACAGACACAGAACCCATTAAAGGACAGACTAAACCAAGGGGGGGGGGGTCTATCACATGATACAGTGGTGGGGGAGGAGGAGGGGGAGGGTGGAAGAACCCCAGGCAACATTGTTTTGAACTGAAATTCTTCTTTTCACAAAGTAAGAAGAAGAAGAAAAGGGGGGGGGGATTTGTTGGGACCTGTTGAGCATTCCGCATGGCACGCCCACTTCTGCAAAATAACACCAGGCTTGTGCTTCCAAAAAAAAAAAAAAAACGAACCTCAAATTACTTTAGCTTTCAATTCGTTGTCTGTTTCTAATCCCTGGAGCCCACTATTATTTGTTTTTAAAGGATAGTCTGAGGGGAAAATCAAGAGACTTATTTAAAAAGTGGCTGACAACTATGAGTATGTGTGCGTATGCATGCATTGTATATATAATACGTTATATATATATATATATACACACACACACACACAAGCATTTATTTTTGAAGATATATCTTTACTTAGATCATCCTATATTACTGAATGCATATATATATATATATACACACACACGCATGTGCATTTATATACACATATAAATATGTATATATAAATATATATTATGTGTGTACATATATATATATATATGCACTCACACACAAGCATTTATTTTTGAAGACATATCTTTACTTAGACCACCCTATACTACTGAATGCATATATATATACACACACATGCATGTGTATATATATATATGTATATAAATATAGATTCATCATGTTTGTGTGCATATATATATATACACACACACACATATACATGCACATGCATACTCATAGTTGTCAGTCTCTTGATTTTACCCTGAGCCTATCCTTTATATATATATACACACACACAACCTATATATATATGTATGTATGTATGTATGTATGTATGTATGGACAGACACACCTATTACACTTACACACACACACACACACATATATCGGTCCCAAATATTTCACCCCAGCCTAATGGAGATCGAAGGCGGGGGCGATGGATGACGTAATATCCGTGGAACTTTTCTCGAGTGAGCTTCGCTTTTCTCCCCAACAACAAAGTTGCGCCGAGTTCCCAGGCGCGGCTCCAAGCTCTCCGCGGGGGGCGCATTTTTGCCACCACCACCCCTCCCTCCCTCCCCCTTTTTGGGGGTATAAAATCCCTTTCTTTCGCAGGGAAGACGGGCTATTTTGGACACATTTATCTTCAGGGATCCAAAGATGGTGGTGAAATAAGAGAACCAATCTATCCCCCCTCCCCACCTCCGCCTTTTTTTCTCTCTCTCCCTCCCGGGCACACAAATACACACGCGCGCGCACGTACACACGCACACACACACCCCTCTTCGGAGGGCTTTCGTCGCCGCTGCAGACGGGTGGGAAACCAATCGCTTGGCCTTTGCAGCGGTGGAGAGACAGAGAGAGAGAGGGGGGAGGCAGACAGGAGTGGGAATGGAGGGAGGCAAGGAGGGGAGGGAGGGTGACCTCTACGGGGGGAAAAGAAATCCTCACCGCCTGTACGCCCCCCCCCCCTTTCTTCTCTCCGAGTGGCAGAGAGMCCCCCCCCCCTTCCTCCCTCAGCTCCTCCGTGCTTACCTTTCTCCAGTGGGGGCGCTGGGGCTCCTCTAGCCGCCAACTTCCATGGCTCCTCCGGCAGCGGCAGCAGGAACCGAGGCGGATAAACAACTTGGTGGGGACGGGGAGGGAAGGGTTGGGTGTGGGCCCCGAGGGGAGGCACGAGAGGGGAGGGGAGGTTAAAGCAGCCGCCCCTTTGCAGAAGAGGAAGCCAGGGAGGATTGGAAGGAAGGAAGGAGCGAGGAAGACGCCCCCTCCCCTTCCTTCCTCTTCCTTCTCTTTCCCCCTTCTTGCTGTGCTTGCCTTTTGCCCCTCAGCGCAGACTCTCTCTCGCCTCCCCCCTCCTTCCTTCCGCCGCCTCAATTAATGCCCCTCACACGCTCCTGCCCTCCTTCTCCTCCTCCTCCTCCCCCTTCACACCCCCTTCTCCTGCCTGGCAACACCCCCACCCCCCTCTCTCCGTTCCTCTCCCTCCTCCTCCAGCTTCTCCCTCTCCGTCTGCGCTCAAAGCTCTCTACGACGGCTCGGCTCGGCTCAGCCACAAAATGGAGGACCGCGGCGGCGGCGGTGGCGCGAGCTAGGGCTGCCTCCGCCTCCCCCGCGCGCGCCCGCCCGCCCGTTCGCTTGCTCCTCGCGGCCCCCTYCCCTAGACACGGCGCGAGCGAGGGAAGCCGCGCGCCACCCGGCCCCGCCCTCTCCTCTCTTCTCTCTCACWCACAYMCAYMCACACACACAGATTAGCTGAGCATAGCAGAGAGCGCGTGCCCGCCCCTGGCGTCGTCCTCCTCCTCCTCCTCGAGGGCGCGCATTGCGGGGCAGCCGAGGAGGAACGGTGCAACCTGTTGACTGAGAGCGGCAACTGCAGCCCCAAACAAGGGCCTCCTTCTCTCCGCCGCGGCCCCCTCCCCCTCCGCTCCTTCCCTCCTTCTCCCGCCCCCTCCCACTTCTCCTCTATTCTTTTTTTTTTTTGAGGGGGGGGGGTTCAGCTTCTTTACTCCCCCCCCCTCTGAGAGGGAGCGTATAAAAGCCCCGTGGGCCTGGCTTCCCGCCTTCCAGAGAGCCCGCCGTGCCTGGGAGGGAGGGAGGACAGGCAGGCCAGAGCAGAGGAGAGAGAGTGGATGTGTTCCTTCCCGGAGCAGAGCTCGAGGAAGACCGAGAAGGCTCGCTCTTCTGGAGACGTGTGACCCCAGAGAGAGAAGTTGCAGCCCATTCATCTTGGAGTTCATCCGGGCCTCCCTATCCACGGATTCGGCACCCACGGGTTCAACCATCCGCGGCTTGAAAAATAGCAAAAGTGTTCATGACAGTGGTTCTCACCCTTCTTAATTCCTTAATATAGTTCCTCATGTGGTGGCGATCACCCCCCACCATACAATTATTTTTGTTGTTTTTTCATAACTAATTTTGCTCCTGTTATGAATCATCATGGAAGTACCAGATATGCAGGATGTATTTTCATTCACTGGACCAAATCTGGCACAAATACCCGATACGCCCAAATTGATTGTAGTTGTAGTTGCTGGGATTTATAGTTCACCTACAATCAAAGAGCATTCTGAACTCCACCAACGATGGAATTGAACCAAACTTGGTACACGAACTTTCATTTTATTTTTTATTTCGTGTCAAAAGCATTGCATAAATTAGTATAAAACAAAAAAATAGAAGGTGCGCATCCGGCTAAATATCTTTTGACCAAAAACGGGCAACAGCAACGGCATTGTCTGTAGCCTCCAACTATTCCTCCTCTGTACATGAGGCAGGGCACAGTGGACAAGCATACAGATGCAGAGTTGTCTGTTCTGCTCCACAGTCACACAAGGTGTGGAATTCTTTAGTGCCATTTTGCCAGGTTGTCTTTTGATCTGCCCACTTCTCTTCTGGGTCTATTCAAGGACTTCCAAGTTGCCCATTCTTAGTTTGCCCCTGAACTCCCATGACCAACAGAAAATACTGGAAGGGTTTGGTGGGCATTGACCTTGAGTTTTGGAGTTGTTGTTCACTTACATCTGGAGAGTACTGTGGACTCAAACAATGATGGATCTGGACAGGCCCGTAGCTGGGGGGGGGGGGGGTTGAGGGGTTTCAACCCCCCTGAAATTCTCAGGGTGGTCCGCGAGAAGGCCTTATTGGTCCATTATTTAAACTTATATTTATTCATATCATGATCTGATCACCATGCTCAATATATCTCATATGCATGGGGGTATTGGGATAATGATACAAAAGGTTTGCTAGGGTAGACCTCCTCTCACTCAGACTCACCCCCCCGAATCAAACTCACCCCCCCCCTACATCCAGACTTGTCGTTCACCTACATCCAGACCAAACTTGGCATAAATACTCAATATGCCCAAATGTGAACATTGGTGGAGTTTGAGGAAAATAGACCTTGACATTTGGGAGTTGTAGTTGCTGGGATTTATAGTTCAGATACAATCAACGAGCTTTCTGAATGCCACCAATGATTGAATCGGGCCAAACTTCCCACACAGAATCCCCATGACTAACAGAAAATACTGTGTTTTCTGAGGGTCTTTGGTGACCCCTCTAACACCCCCCCCCTTGCAATCCCCCCAGGGGTCCTGGCCCCCAGATTGAGAAACATTGGTTTATGACATGTATCTGAGTTTGATCCATAAAGGCTCTTGCATGGCTTGATGGATCTGGACCAAACCTGGTACACAAACCCATCATGATCCACCAGAAAAAAATCCAAGCATGGTTGGGGGAGAAATGATGATGGGAGTTGGAGTCCACCCACACCCAGTGAGCTAGTTTCAACCAAACAGATCGGGCTGATGGGTGTTGCAGCCGCATAACATATTCTGGTAATGGGAATCCCAACCTATACTATTTTATGAAAGGTCACATTGTACGGAATTAGGGGTTCTCAAACTTTTTAAGCAGAGGGTCAGGTCACAGTCCCTCAAACTGTTGGAAGGCTGGATTATAATTTGAAAAAAGCATGAATGAATTCCTATGCACACTGCACATATCTTATTTATAGTGCAAAAAACACTTTATAACAATACAATAATTAAAATGAACGGTTTTAACAAATATAAACTTATTAGTATTTCAACGGGAAGTGTGGGCCTGCTTTTGGCAGATGAGATAGGATTGTTGTTGTTATGTGCTTTCAAGTCATTTCAGACTTAGGTTGACCCTGAGCGAGGGCCGGGTAAATGACCTTGGAGGACCGTATCTGGCCCTTGGGCCTTAGTTTGAAGACCCCCTGCTACAGATAGGCATTCTCCAATGGAGTCGTTCCCAACCTGTGGTCCGTCCCCAGTTCGCCAGTCCCCAAGAACAAAAATATGGCCTCAACTTTCCTACACCATTGCCTCGAAACCATGTGGCAACAAGAACGACTTGCCTGAATCCCTCTTATAGTGCTGAGGCAATGGGGATATTGGGAGGGGTGAGGCTGACTACCCATCAGCTCTAGATTATTAGATATGGTTTTCTGTGGGCGAGCACATGACTACTGGATGGCATATGTTCTGTATCATATGTGGTCTATCCAATGCAATTTTCTGAATCAGCACCCAAAATAACCAACCTGAATCTAAAGTTTACCAAAAACTGATTTGTAACCATTTGGTCAAAGTGGTCCCTGGTTAAAAAAAAAAAAAAGGTTGGGAACCACTGCTCTTCATAAAATCGTAAAGCTAATAATGAGCATTTACTAATAAAATCCAAAAAGCAAAACCTTGATTTTGGCTTTTTATGTAAGGGACACCATTTTACTACACTGTTGTATTAACAACAACAATAATAATACAGTAGATGCTAAGTTAACCAGCACCTAAAGGGGTGTGTGTGTGTGGTGTGTGTGTGTGTGTGTGTGTGTGTGTGTGTGTTAGTAGGTCGAAGATAAATGTAGTTTGGTTGCTTGAGATTTACTTAACACAAGGGAAATGGAAATGCTGAGATGGACACTTGGCTTGACACTTCTTGACCCATGAGCCAAATTATGACATCCATCAAAGACTAGGAATAAAAGCAATCAGCAAGAAAATGCAGGAAGCAAGACTCTGGTGGTACAGGTATGTCATGAGAAAAGAATCATCAACACCAGTAACACAAACACCACTACATTTGGAGATTGCAGGACAACGACCACGTGGACATCCAAAGAAAAGATAGATGGCTACCATCATCAAAGACATACACACTGCCAACCTGAGGATGCCCAAAACAAAGCCCTGTGGAAACAGCAGTCACAATGCTCTCCCCTCCATTGGGGAAATAGCTTAGAAAGAAGAAGGTTGTTTGAGAGCTACTATTAAAAATAGGCCTAACTAATACTATGCCCTTGGAGGTGCAGCGGGTTGAACCACTGAGCTTCTGAACTTGCTGACCGAAAGGGTGACAGTTTAAATCTGGGAACGGGGTGAGCTACCGCTGTTAGCCCCAGCTTCTGCCAACCTAGCAGTTCAAAATCATGCAAATGTGAGTAATCAATAGGTACCGCTTCTGCAGGAAGGTAACGGCACTCCATGCAGTCATGCTGGCCACATGACCTATGGACAATGCTGGCTCTTTGACTTAGAAATGGAGATGAACACCATCCCCCAGGGTTGGACACAACTAGACTAATGTCAAGGGGAAACCTTTACCTTTACTAATACTACATCCCATACTATACCACACTGTATTGACTGAAATTCATATTGAAACACAATAATTAAAAGCAAATGTAAACAAGCTTAGTGTAACACAGTTTTACTGTCTTATAAAAACTTCTTGGGACCCCTGGTAGCGTAGCGGGTTAAACTGCTGAGCTGCTGAACTTGCTGACCAAAAGGTCAGAGGTCCAAATCTGAGGAGTGGGGTGAGTTCTTGTTGTTAGGCCCAGCTTCTGCCAATCTAGCAGTTCGAAATGTGAGTAGATCAATGGGTACCACTCCGGTGGGAAGGTAATGGCGCTCCATGCAGTCATGCCAGCTTAGAAATGGAGATGAACACCACCCCTTAGAGTCGGACGTGACTAGACTTAATGGGGAAATCTTTACATTTCCTAAAAACTGTTGTGTAGACTCAGTATCATTTCTTCAATTTGTGTCAGTTACTTGAATTCCATTTAACTGAGAGTTTGCTGTAATATATTTTATTTGTTCCCTGCCTCTCCTCGTGGTTTGAGAAGATAAAACGTAAGTTAAAATATATCGGCAAAACATAAAATTGTTTAAATACATATATTAAAAGACATGGAGCAAAGATTTAAATATATTAAAATCTTAATAAAAGCTTCTGCCAACCTAGCAGTTTGAAAACATGCAAATGTGAGTAAATCAATAGGTACCACTCTGGCGGGTAGGTAACGGCACTTCATGCAGTCATGCTGGCCACATGACCTTGGAAGTGTCTACGGACAACTCCAGCTCTTCTGCTTAGAAATGGA